TTTAATTATTTTAATTAATTAACTAAATTATCTGAATAATTTTAATTATCTAAAATTATAACCAAATCAAATATTTGGTTTGAGTTTGCTATGAAAGTTACCTCCAAATTCAGATAACCAAAATTTAGTTCAACTTAGTTCAATTTAGACAATCCGAATAGAATGCCTAATCCTAACCAAAAGGTTTCATTTTTGTGCCCAATATTGAAATTAAATTCATGTAATTAAATTGATATATATATAATAAATAAAATTTTTTAACATGTGGGTTTCCTTTTTTGTACCCAATATTGAAATTAAATTCATGTGATTAAATTGATATATATAATAAATGAAAATTTTTAACATGTGGGTTTCGATTGTGTACCCAATATTGAAATTAAATTCATGTGATTAAATTGATATATATAAGAAATGAAATTTTTTAATGTGTGTCTTTATGATCAAGTTAAAAATATATTTATTGTATTTTTGTAATTTTTTTATCATTAAATTATATAAAAAATAAAATTAATTTTAATTTTATTAATTCTTTAATTAAAATGTCATAAATATGTAAATTTTTTTATAAAAATTAATAATAAAAAATATAATAAATATACTTTTAACATGCTCTAATTACACAGGCCAGACAAATGGAGTTGAACTGCTTGTTTGGCTATAAATTGTAAGGAATGTTAGAGTTATGGAAGCCAGGAAAGCTGAGAGCTAAAACCACTTTGAGGATCTTCATTAGTAGTGATGCCAATGTTTATTCTTCTTCTTTTTCTGTTTTTCTTAGTTCTTCTTCTCCAGAAGATGCAAAAGCAGAAGAAGCGGCTTCCTCCTGGCCCTCGAAAACTTCCAATTATTGGAAACCTTCACCAACTCGGTGCAGTTCCCCACCAGTCGTTTGCTGAAATGTCAAAGAAACATGGCCCTGTAATGCTTGTTCATCTTGGATTTGTCCCAACACTCATTGTATCCTCTGCAGAAGCCGCAAAAGAACTCTTAAAAGCCCACGATCTCGATTGCTGCAGCCGACCTCCCTTGACGGGTACCGGAAAGCTCTCCTATAACTACCTCGACGTCGCCTTTACTGCCTATGGTGATTACTGGAGGGAAATGCGACGTCTGTATGTTATCGAACTCCTCAGTATTAAAAGGGTCCAATCTTACCGGTTCGTCAGAGAAGAAGAGGTGGAATTCCTAATAAAATCAATTTCGGAATTCTCAAAATTGGGGACACCGGTCAACCTCAGTGAGAAGCTGATGTCTCTTACCGCCGATATCACTTGTCGGGTTGCTTTTGGAAAGAGCTTCAGAGAAAGGGGATACGAAGATTTCGGCGCGGATTACGAAGAGGTGATTCATGAAGCACTTGCCATGTTGGGAAGCTTTGCGGCCGCCGATTTCTTTCCTTACTTCGGTTGGATTGTGGACAGAATCACCGGTCTCCGTAGAAGACTCGAATGGAATTTCAAAAAACTGGATGCTTTCTTTCAGAAAGTGCTAGACGATCACCTCTGCTCCGGTCGCCAAATTACAGAGGAAGAACACGAAGATATCATCGATGTTCTGATAAAAATAGGAAAATATGAGACGGTGTCCGGTACTGAAAGGATCACTCATAATCACATCAAAGCTATTCTTATGGTAAGCATGTCACTTTGAACTTCCTCTGTTTTTGCAATGTTTCCTTTTTAAAAATTTAATTTCAGCAATTACTCCTTGAGATTGACTGACTTCACAAGCAATTTTGAAAGGTTGAGGCCTAATAAGAAGAGTATTTATTCTGAAAATTTCAAACTGACCACCTTTGGATCTGTCACCGATCAGGACATATTTCTTGGCGGATCCGATACCGCTGCCATAAGCATGGCTTGGGCCATGGCGGAGCTGGCAAAGAACCCAAGAGTGATGAAGAAAGCACAGGAAGAAATAAGAAACAGCGTTGGGAACAAAGGGAAAGTCTCAGAAACTGACATCGAAAAACTTCCGTATCTGAAGGCGGTGGTGAAGGAAAACTGGCGGCTGCATCCACCGGGAACATTGCTGATGCCGAGAGAAGCCATTACCCGATTCAACATCTTAGGCTACACCATTGACCC